ATGTGATTCTTATCATTTGAGTTTATTCTATTCATATTTTCACCACAAGTTTTATTTTTCAACCACTTTAGTAATGATCATTCCAAATGAAAAGAGGTAAAACCAATATGGGACGGAGTTAGTATGATAACACACCATTTATTTGGCAAACAGGAAACCAAACAACATACATATGATATGTTAATACTAAATAGTTACGAAAACAACGTAACGTAACCAAAAAGTAAGAAAGTAAAAAAACCAACACATGAAACTTGCAAGGATTCCAGATCGAAATGGCTTTGGCAGATGATATAGTGATATAGTAATAACCAATGATTCAAAGACAAATTAGAGCAAAGAAAAAAAGAAATGAGCAATAATTCATAGAGTATGCCGGCCTCAAAACCTCTCCGCAATAAAGGGGGAAGAAATAAGAGGAAGAACACATAATACGCAATAGGAACCGAGTATGATGAAAAGATGTGAAGAGCAATGGTGGTAGGCCATGTCGATGGCACGCTTCAGACAAAATGAAGCCCAGTTGCATCCCACTGCGCATTCACATCATCATCATATCACACACTACTACTACTGCCACATGAGTGAGTGAGAGGCGGGGGAGAAATCAGAAATACTATACTACACACATTTTTACAGCATAATCATACGCCATATATTTGTTCCTCCCCTTTAATCATTTCTCCATGTCATTCCATCATTAGTTTCACCGCCCGGACTTTGTTCAGCTTGATGGGGGTGATTATTAGTAATTGTGGCCACTCAGGATGTTCTCGAAGGAAACTTTAATTTAAGGCCAAAAAGTTAAGTATCTGATCTATTATTTACACTTTCAAATTAAAGGTTGAATCCCGGTCTCAAAGGCCCTTCACGCCCTGGCCCAGCCCGACAGAGCATATGAGGGGTGGTATCAACTGAACACAGAGGTTATATCAGTACTCGTTGCACACAAGGTGTTTTCATAACATTGAGAGGTTACTCCTACAATGCTGCTTATCGGAATTGATCTTGAGTTACTTGTTCAAAATTTCATCCATGTGACGAACTGAATTATCCATGCGGGCAACAAGGATTTATTTAGACAATTAGATTCATTGGATAACCTTTGTTTTGGCCTTGATGTTTTTCATCAAAAAATACTTTTATAATTAATTTGACTGGATTTATTGAAAAAAAAAACTACTTTTGCTATTTTTCATATAAATATTTCTTTATTTTATTGATAAAATATAATTTGATTTTTTTCGCAATTCAAGAGGCCGGTTCAACCACTTTCTTAAGAGCTTCACAAATATCATCAAATTGAATCGATTAACCTAATTTCAATAGTACCAAATGGGATCCTATTCTATACATTTTTACCTACATTCATAGTTGCCATGCATTTATCGGGTGTCGAAAAGTGAAGTCATGTATCAACTTTCAATAAATCAATGTCAATTATGAATATAAGAAAAAAAGCCATGTAGCAAATCAGCAAATGTACATCTTTCCTTACTCTTCAATGTCTTCATATCCTGGTCGATCTATTTAGGTATGATATAACCCGATCTATTTAAATTTGACATGATAAAGCTCTGATATACATGTATAATGTTATTTCTAAATATGGTCTATTGGTACATAACTAAAGTTATAGTTGAAAATTTTGAAAGCTGAATTGGAAATAGTATGAAAGAGATAAAAAAATAAAAAAATAGATAAATAAATAAATAAATAAATAAATAAATAAATAAATAAATAAATAAATAAATAAATAAATAAACAAAGGGAAAGTATTTACTTACACTTTACAATGTGTTTAACACAAAAGGGTAATATATAAATAAATAAATAAAATGCACGGAGTGTATTTATTCTAGTGCAAAAGAATTGGAGTATTTATAATTGAATTCATCTCTACACAGTAAAGATAATGAATAGTGCAAAAGATAATAAAATTTTAGAATCCTTTTTTCTAAACCTCGTACTCCGTATGATGTTTCTTCTTCTACGCTTTCCTACATTATGGGCCTTTTCAAAATAGACTTATGAAGTTATGTATAATTATTAAATTAGGCCCAAACTATTAATTAGTAACTTTTCACATGTAAGAGACGTAGAGTTATATCTAGATCATCATAAATAACTATCTAATCGACTCATTTGCGTTTTTTTAATCGTACAGTTTAATAAATTTTCATAACATCCAGTTAGGGGTGGGCACAGTTAATTAACATTTCATAAAAAAAACAAAGACACCCCATCCCTGAGAGCCCTCAACACCGAACGGACGACACGATGAGAGGATGTAAATTAAATTATTATCACAATCTGACAGGATTCGAACCCAGAATCTAACCCTTGTGCCACTCCCTCGCTACCAGCCGAGCTATGCCCACCAGTTGGTTAACGTTTCATACTTTTATGTAGAGTTGTATCCAGCCACACGTTTCATACTTTCATGTTTGCCAAATGACGGTCCGTATACATATACGGTCAGGGCCGGCCCTGGGCAGGTGTAGCCAGCCCAATCGCACAGGGCCCAATTTTTTGGAAGGCCCAAAAACTATTTTATTTTACTATTAGTAGAACTATCTGCCAGCCCAAGTTCGTAGCTTAGAAGGAAATTCGGAGCAAAAGAAGCCGCCAGAAGGGAACTTGCCGAACACTGGAAGAGAAAGTGTCGCTTGAACGTGGAAGAGTGAACGTCTGACCGACAACCGCCGGCACCCAGCGCCAACGAATCACGACCACACCACCCGCACTCCGCACTACCGCACTACCGTAGTTATTTGTTTCTGATGTCGTTAATTTCAAATTAGTGAATTACAGTTCGTGACCTGCTTGCCTTGTTGTTATTTGTTGATTTATTTATTGTCTACTGAAATTAAGTAATTGAATAGATAAATGATAATAAGTGTCTTTAACCATTACGATTTAAGAAGTTTGTATAAGTATGTTATTAGGTAACTACCTTCTTTACTTCTTTAGACTTTAGGTTTAGGTTTATAAATTACAAATTATAATTATATTTTTTAAATACGATGAGATCAAAGAAGGACCTTTGGGATTGGATTAGAATACAGGGGAACCAAAAGGGTTCTGTTTGTTAGTTTACAAGACTGTATTTCTTCAGCAATGTTGCAGCAGAGTTGGACTCCAAGAAGTTGTACGATTTGTTTTCTACTATCTTTAGGTTTGTAAATTATACTAGTAATTACTACATTATTAAAGTCTTACTAGTTCACCCAAAATTTAAACAGAATTTTAACTTAGAATTTTGAAAACTTTTAAACATGTACATGATTAGGGGTGTACAAGATTAAAATAATGTAATTTTTTTTTAAACATGTACAGAATTCTAAACCGAAGCTTAGAAAATTTTTAAACTGAATTTTCATAGCAAATGGTACTTCAATGCAATGATGGAACGTGGAGAAAAGGCCCAATTTTTTTTGTCGCACCGGGCCCTCTTTTGCTCGGGACCGGCCCTGTATACGGTATGTGTAATTCAAGAATGAATTTGATTAATAATGACACACGTATACTATATACAATAATCAGGGGCGTAGCCAAAGGCAAAATATTAAGCTAAGCAGATACAAATATTAATTGAATAAATAATATCATCCAATATGTAAGATTTTTAGAGATTTGGAATTGGCCTGGTAAAGTACGAAAAGAATGTCATCGAATATGGTGTTGATGTTGGAAAGTACGCAGCCATCAAGTGGGAACTCCCAAGCCCAGGAACAACCAAAGCCCAATTTCAAATATTTTCTTTCAATGATATAAGACCAAGCTTTTAGACAAAACACCTATGATAATTTTATTAAATAACACTAGTAAAAGCACATTTCATACCGCTTAAAAGGGGCGCATTCAGGAACTTAGGATACCCTGAACTGAAAAATCAATTATACTAAACTTAAACATTAATGAGATGATTAAATATGAAAAATGAAAAAATTAACTACACTGAAAAATTGAATTTTTTGTAGTTTTTTGGACTTTATCCCACCATAACTCATGTGTAGATCCTTCCCTAGCAATATTGATGCATACATAATATGGAACCCAAAATATACAAATACTAAGAATCTAAAAAAATAGGAGTATGGTATCCCACGAAATATGGGTAAAGATAATCACCCTAAAATCATAGTTCCATAACTTAGATCACAATACCAGCCTTTTAGGATGTTTTCTTTTGGACTGTTTTCAGTCCCATACCAGACCAGATCATATCAGACCAGATCAGACCAAATTTGACTTCCGTAGTTAGAAAATACATAGAGACCAGACGTCTACCAGACTAGACCAGACCAGACCAACAAATTCCAGTCCAAAAGAAAACATCCTTAATGTCACAATATGGCTTCATTATGACATTATTTTCACTCCTAATTAGGAAAAAATATACTCCGTATTTATCCGTTTAGGGAAAATATTATTTTACTCCTACTTTGGAAAAAGTCTACATTTCAATTCTATGAGGAAACAAATACAATCAGTTGAATTAAAATATATATATATAAATAGTAACAAAAATTCTATAGGTACCCCAAAATGTACACCATTTTGTACCCACGTCCTGAATTGCCAATGTACACAGGCAATTTGTTTGAAAGGCGGCAGGACTTACTGTCCAAATGTCTGTGTACACAAACGTGTACAGATTGGGGTACGAATTAGGGTACCCCAAGCAGGACTCAAATAGTAATAACGGCCCTTTGGCATTGGATTTCCTTGTCGGGCTCGATTACTATGTTTTTGGCTGACTTGTCTCAATGCATCCTCCTCATCATTGTCCCCATCTTGAGGTTGGACCTTGTTCTTGAGGTCCACCCAATGCATCATCGTCCATTACTTTGTTGTTGGCCCAATGCAACCTCTTATCAATTATTCTAAATTGAGTTGAAATTTGGGAGAAAGACCTAAATAGGACTAAAAAAAGTCTTAGGAATGTAAATAGGAGTTGAAAGTTTTAAACTCCTATATAGAACTAATTATGAACGGAGGGACAAAAATGCCCTTAAACATGTCCGCTTTGACAATTCTGCTGCGAACATAGTTAGCCGCATACTGCCAAGCCGATAACAACCATGGAGCACCGGATTTATACTAAGGAATCGTTCTCGTCGATTGGAGGTCATAATCACCGTCGGTCCGCTGCTGATTACTGCCGGAATGATCCCCTGTGCGAGTCATCACCGGGGTGGTCGCCGATGGGCGATGGCATGGTCCGGACTCCGGATCCGGATAGGCTCCTCCTCCTTTCTTCCCTCTTCGAAGCTGTTAGTGAGATTCTTCTATGTCCCAAATATCAGCAGAGGCGCAGATCTGATATTCGTCATTTTGGGTTGTTCTTCTCCCCCCCTCCTATCCCCTCCCTCCCCTGCCAATCTTCCGTAGCTTTTTCTTGTTGTTTTACTTTTCATTTTCGTTTTGTTTTATTTTATTTGCAGGTTCATTTAATGAATTAATGGTATTAAATTTTTGGCTTCATTATTGATTTTGGAAAATATATTTATAATTGAGAATAAATTAATAAATATTACTATCTCTGTTGAAAAGTTTTACCTGCAAAATGACACATTTATTTAAGTAATAATTAATTAAATGACATAATTCGAGTACATATTGTTAAATAATTTTGATGATATATAATATAATAAAAGCAGGTCTAATATTATAAATATATTATTTTTAAAATTTGATGATTAAATTGTCATTTAAAATAATGTGATTGAATTTGAGAATGTAATTTAAAGTCATTGTTCAAATTGTGATAAAGTCTAGAATGTCGGAAAAGTTGACAATGTCAGAAAACTATCAGAATGTCAGACAACTTTCACAATGTCAATAATATATGATAATGACAATGTCAATGCTATAAAAATGACATTGTAAAAACGACAATGTCAAAAATTTCAAAATGACATTGTAAATTTCAATGCTATAGAAATGACATTATGACATTGTCAATAAGTGTCATTGTTTTCGATGATGACATTGAGATAAGTGTCAATGTCATATCATTGTAAAAATTTACAATGTATAAACAGGCAAAATGTCAAATAATGAAAATGACAATGCCAATGTCACAAAATGACATTGTAATAGTGACAATGACAATGTCAATACCATAAAAATGACATGGTATTAATGACAATGTCAATGCCAATGTCAATGACTGACGTAACAATCATTGACATCAGTATGGACATTGTAATGCAATTGTTTGAAAATTAATGTCATTGCGTGAAACCTTTCAAAACAAAATCATTTTGTGAAATACAAACAAAATAAAAAGTTAGAAAAAATGTCACAATGTTAACGTATTTTATTAGCATCGTCATTGTTAATCTCTCAAAAAACACATTGTAATAATTAACAGTATGACATTGTCTATACATTTTCCTCACAGTATCATTATTAAGAGCAAAATATAATATCATTGTTGGAATAAAATAATGGTGGCAAGTGGCAACATTTATCGATCTATCACTTTGGTGGTACAAATTTAACATTGCAAGAGTTAAAATGAATTAACGAAGTAATAAATAAAAAAACCAATTAACATTAAAATTAAACAAAATAATATTACAATTTTGGGAAATGAAATTACGAAATAGCAAGAAACATTATCCAATAGCCGGAACAACAAATAGAAAGAAGCCAAGAAGCAAAACCAAAAGTAATCACGACCAAATAACATCAAAGACGCAAGAAAAGAAGAAAGAAAAAGAGCTGATCTGCAAGATGACGGATGAGAAGTAGAAGAGAGAGAAAAAGACGAGCGACGGAATAAACGAGGAGGAAGAGCGGATATGCAACATCTTCGAAGGCGGGGACGGCACTTAGTTTTCTGTCCATGGTTTCTTCGTCGTCAACGGATCTGCCACCGCGCGATTGGCGCCTCACCTTATTCAACTTCCGCGCCCCGCCTCCGTTGTTCCGCCAAGGAGCCACGTCCTTGTTACAGGGAAGCCTTACTCGCCTATGGTATGAAAGAGGAGCCTGCGTTTGTCAATTGTCAACAGCGAACAAAGAGAAAGGAAATACAGAGCAATAGATTTAAGGGTAATTTTGGAAACACGGAAAAATATGGTCTTATTTAGGTATAAAATTCATTTAACTCCTATTTAGATACATGAGGTATGTTTCGGTCCTATTGGGCACCATTTCTCTTGAAAATTTACTATTTATTTGCAAATTGTCATTGCAATTTTGTATTATTCTCTAATTTTGGGTATAACCTTTTTCTATCGTATCCTACAATTTTTTATAGCTGAAATATAATGTTAGTGTAGTTTGAAAAAGTATAAACTTTAATGTATGACTAGTTTTAATTTTATTATAAAAAAAACAACTTCATCCTTAATTTATCATAAATTTAACAAGTTGCACCCCACCATGAAACAAAGAAAGTGGAAAATAAGTATAATAAAGTACAAAAAAGCGATTTTGTAATATTGTTATATTGAGCCTAATCTCAAAGATTAACTCTTCAAATAAAGAGTGAATCTTTTCTAATATAAGCCTAATCTCAATTCTTTGTGTCGGTTTAAGACGTTCCAACCGAAATTTATCCAAATCATCTGGTTTATCAAGAGATGCTTTTGTTGTATCGGTTGAGAGTTCAGAAAAGAATGAAGATGCATTGAATTTTAGGTCCCGTTCAACTCAATTCAATTTCGGATCGGTATTTTCCATCTTGTTTGGTTTTTAGATTTTTGGAATTCAAATGCCAACCCTATTTTATATCACTTCGAAATGAATATGCATATTTCGGATAAATGTTGTACTCGTATAAATAACACGGTAAGTTTCTATGGTTGGAAGTTGGAACTAAAAAACCTAACTACATCATTTTCATGAGATAAATATAAATCGAGTTTTTTTCCGTAATAATGTTAATTAATTAATTAATTACGAAAATAGGGTTGGGTTAAAAGTATTTACCAAAATACTGCTGGGTTAACCATGGTCGGGGTAAGTCGCCCAACGGTTGGGCGACTTATAAGTCGCCAAATGGTTTGGCGACTTATAAGTCGCCCAACCGTTGGGCGACTTACCCCTTAAGTAAAAACGGGGGCGGCCACAAACAGAACGCAGATATACAATTAGCCCCAATTGAACTGAGCTGCTGCGACGGACGAAGAAGACGACCGACGAACCTCCATCTCCAACTCCGGCGCTCCTCCATCTCCGGCGACCCCACTCCGGCAACCCTCCATCTTCATCTTCAACACTCTTTACTCCTTATTCTAGGTAAATCCAAATCCATTTCATATAATTTTGCACTTAGGGTTTAGAATGTTAATTTTTTTTAATTTTGGGATTATGAATTGATTGTGAATGAAGTTGTTGTGAAATGTGGATATGTATGAAATGTTGAAATTTGATTTTAAATTGTTTGTAAATTGTAATGTGTATTTTGACATTTGGGCATTTGGGTATAGTTGAATGTACCTAAATTTGGGTATTCAAAGGTAGACATTGAATGTAGATATCAAAATTTGGGTAGTTTGTTATTGAAATGTGAATTGTTTGTGAATTTGGAGTTAATGATATATTACAATTTTGGAAGCAATTTCTATTAAAAATGTGAATGTGTATAAAGTGTGTATATTGATGCGTACTCATGAATGTTGGACAATGAGTTGTTATTAGAATATGGATTTCTCAAGCTTCCCACTCGTGTGTCATTGGGGAGGGAACTATTATGAGAATGGTGGGCAAATATGCCATGAAGGTGGCAGAACGAGCTTTGTCATGGTTTCTCGTGGCGCTTGCATGCTCGAGATCCTTCAAAAAATACATGCAGCCACAATGATTCATCCCGGCCGTTCATTGCGGTTGAAAATGAAATTTCCCATGAACGGGGGAAAGTACATGCTTATGCCGCTCATTGATGAGCTAGCTATAACAAATATGTGGGGCATAATTCAGATGGAGGATATGTCAACGCTGGAGATATACATTGAAGAATCTTCTGACACTTATGGTACTCAATCAACATCACATGCTGTTGTATCCAGGCATGATGTCATTGCAGGGGTGAATGCACGGAAGTCGTCAAATGTTCCTGTACTAGACATGGTTATACAGGAGGATGGCAGGTATTTGCACAACGGTGCGTCATTTGTGGATGGGCAGGGAAGTGATGATGATGCAGACGAGAACATCAATGGTGACGACATGACAGAATCTGATGAAGATGATGGTGATACTGTGACATCAACTGCCCCGTCTAGCCACTTCACTAGAATGTATGATCTCCCTGAAGGTTTTACTGATGCGTGGATGAGTGGATCAGGTGAGAAAAGGTTTACCCCCGATGGTGAGTTTGAGGTCGGTCAACAGTTTGACAACAAAGAACAAGTCATCAATATGGTGAGCTTGTATTCTATCAAACGGAACCAATTCTATCGGGTGATAGAATCCGACAAACACAAATGGGTGGCACAATGCAAAAGGAAGAAAGAATGTCAATGCCCCTGGAGAATACGCGCCACAAAGAACAAAGGCAACCTTGACACCTTCACAATTGTGCGTTATTCTGGACCTCATTCTGCTTCTTGTGTAGGCAACATCGACACTACAGATCACGTGGCCTTGACATCAGAATTCATCTGTAAAGATGTGGTTGACATTATTCGCACTGATCCTTCTCTTAAAGTGCATACTATCATCGAGATGTTGAAGGAAAAATATGGGTATACGGTATCTTACCGGAGAACATGGATGGGGAAGCAAAAGGCCATAGCACAAATATTTGGCGGTTGGGAAAAGTCATATTTCGAATTGCCCCGTTTCATGACAGCGCTCCAACATTCTAATCCAGGAACTGTTGTTCAGTGGTACCCACCCCCCAATGGTGCGACAGGTTATATGATGTTTCAAAGAGTTTTTTGGGCATTCAAGGCATCAATATCTGGTTTTAAGCATTGTCGACCCGTACTTACTATTGATGGCACACACATGTATGGAAAGTACAAGGGCACATTGCTCGTGGCCATGGGTTGTGATGCGAACAACCACATTTTCCCAGTCGCCTTTGCAGTTGTTGAATCCGAGAATGGAGACAGTTGGCCATGGTTTATGGCATGTATTAGGCATTTTGTGACTAACAGGGAGTTGTGTGTCATTTCAGATAGACATGGAGGTATTGTTAGGGCAATGAATGAGGTTGGAAGTAATTGGGAGGAGCCTTATGCGCATCATAGGCTATGCATCCGTCATCTTGCTTCAAATGTGCACACTCATTTCAAAGACATTCATTTAAAAAATCTATTTGTGTGGACCGCACGGCAACATCAGAAAAAAAAATTTGATGGTGGGTTCAAGAAGATAGGTGAAATGAGTAGGGATGCACGACAATTTTTGGCCAACATTCCAGCAGAAATGTGGTCGCTGCACCATGATGGCGGGTACAGATACGGTACCATCACTTCAAATCTGGCTGAGGTTTTCAATAGCGTCATGAAAAATGCTAGATATTTGCCCATTACCGCCTTGGTCCAGGTGTCTTTTTACCAGGTTAATGCGTACTTTGTGAATAGGCGTGAAACTAGTAAGTTGAGGCTCACACAAGGCCACGAGTACTCCCCATACATCACAGATTTAATTGAAAAAAATAGAGAGAAGGCAAAGCATCACATTGTCACTCCTTTTGATTTAGGGCGAGGTATATTTCAGGTGGAGACAGGTTGTGGTGGCAGAACGTTGGGAAAGGGTGGGAGAAAACAAACTGTCCATCTACAACGGAAAACGTGCACTTGCAAAAAGATGGAGATATACAAGATTCCTTGCTCCCATGTATTAGCCGTGTGTAGACAACGTAGTTTGTCTTATGCTCCATTTGTGGATAAGTTCTTCTCTTCTGACCAATACGCCGCCACGTATCATAGGGTGTTCAAACCGATTCCAGATCGTGATTATTGGCCAAATTACAATGGACCCGAAATCGTGCACGATCCATCCATGCTTCGGGCAAAGGGAAGACCAAAGTCGACCCGTATTAAGAATGAGATGGATGAAGGCCCACGAGGAACGGTTAGATGTGGAAGATGCCACCAAACCGGCCATAATAGAGCGACATGTGCAAAGAGATCATCTAGACAAGAGGGGGGGTCCGCCGGGTATGTGTATATTTAGAGTCAATCATAATTCATTATTTCCTTGCAAGGAAAATTAATAAATTCAAAAAAGGAAGTTAAAAAAAATGTAATACATTATACAATTACAACTAATACAATTAGAACTAATACAAATTTTGTTTGTAGGCATGGAGGTGATAGCGGATCCTGGGCCGAGTGATCCTTCTGTCCTGACACTGCAGGCCTCACACAGGAGTGAGGATGTTTGGCTTGGCATGGATGTGCAGGTTGATAGGTGCCGCGAGCATCTGCGGGGTTTGTCCCATTTACATGTCGACCCCAGAGTCCTAGCATATGTTCGTGCAGCAGGTTTTTTTACACTGCACAGGTTAGTGGCTACTGTGCCTTTAGATAGAGCCCTCCTCACTGCTCTACTTGAGCGTTGGAGGCAGGAGACACATTCATTTCACCTCCCTGTTGGTGAGGTCACTGTGACATTGGGAGATGTGGCTGTACTGACTGGGTTAGAGGTTGATGGGAGAGCTGTTACAGGCACTGCTTGTCGACAGTGGGTGGATGAGTGTGAGAGGTTGTTAGGCATCCGCCCCGTTCTTAGGGCTGACCTTCAGGGGTCATCTCTTAGGATGCCATGGTTGAGGGAGCACTTCCAGGCCCTTCCTCCCGACGCTGATGAGATGATCATCCAGCAGCATGCTCGGGCGTATATATTGATGATGATGGGAGCCTCCATTTTCGCTGACAAGAGCGGAAATGAGGTTCAGGTGCTACACCTGCCTTTGCTGGAGAGGTTTGATGTAGCAGCACAGTTTAGCTGGGGTAGTGCCACCCTGGCTTATCTCTACAGGCAGCTGTGTCGCGGGTGCCAGAGAGGGAGCACAGAGCTGGGGGGATTTTTGCTACTCCTCCAGATTTGGTCATGGGAGTATATCCACATTGGCCGTCCCATTATAGTTGGATATCATGGCATTGATGGACAGCCACTGCCTGATGAGCCTCCACGTCTGCTAGGACCACATCATGTACGGGGCGTGGACCCTCTAGGCCGTCGGTATGTTTTCAATCGTTTATATTTGTGTTAGTTTTTGTTGAATGTAAATGCATTAATAAAATCCATATTATTGATATTGTAACATTAATGGTTAGGTGGCTATATGCTGGTTTATCTCGCATGTCATCCGCTACTGGCCTCGGTGTGTACAGGGATGCATTGGATCGGATGTCTGAGGACCAGGTATGGTGTGTGTAGTATAACAGTAACTAGAATAGGTGTAGAATAAATACTAATTTTGTATGTTTACGAAACAGATCACATGGATGCCGTATAGACCTGATATGTTAGCAGAGTTGCCCCCAGCTGGACGAGAGCAGACTCACATATGGCGAGCACGTGTGCCGCTGATATGTTTTGACATTGTTGAGCTTCATTTGCCTGATAGAGTCATGCGACAGTTTGGGTTTGAGCAGGTCATTCCCCGTCCTATCGACACTTATGTAGAGCTGCATAAGCTGGATAGGCGTGGGAAGCATACAGAGGATTGGGCACTCAGACATGTCCGATACGTGACTATGTGGGATAGGAGAGCTGAGCTAGCCGTGGCTGGGACACCCACATATGTGCCATCAGTTTCAGGAGATTACATGGGATGGTACTACAGCATCACTCGGTTGTTTGTGTCTCCTTCGTTCAGACTCCCTACTCATCATTATCAGCCTAGCTCATTGGCATTGCATCTTACGGTGAGTATATTACTAATTAGTAAAGTAAGTCATTTTATTTATGTAATACTTGTATGTTTTTGAATGTAATTGTAGTTGTGTTTCGTATTGCAGACCCGAGCTTTGCAGCGCATACATCAGCGGGCTACTGCCACTGTGACTGATATTCCTGATGTGGACATGTATGGACAGACTCTGACAGGCATTGCCTCGTTATGCTCAGATGTGTTGGGTCGAGTAGACTACGGACATCTTATACACATGCCCGCATCTCAGGAGATGGCATCCACGTCTACTGCAGCCGCGGCTTCATCATCCCAGACGCAACATGAGAGAGTGGTTCTTCAACCACGACAACGCCGTAGGCGTAGACATGAGCAGCAACATCTCCATGACGAAGCTGATGATGGGAACTTGTAGTTTGTCTTTTGTATTGTAGTTTTTCTAATGCAATAGATGTTGTAGGAACAATTTACAAGTTTTGATGTATTTTCTCTTGTTAAGTATTCTATGTTGTATTGATGTGTTTGAGTATGAATATTACATGATTATTTGTTATGGCATATATGATGATTGAACTGTGTTATACCGGTTATGATTTGAAAGTTTTTTAGTGGTGTTTATAAGGTGTTTTTTATGTTGTTGAGAGTAGGTGATTATCATGTGTTGTATCTAGTTTGTAACACTTCAAAAGGAGAAAGGAGACCTTATTTGTAGCAAACAGATCGGTCTGGATTGAACCGGGGCGAAAAACAAGCTGATTTGGTGTTTTAGGTAATAGGCACGATCGTGCCTAAGGAAATAGGCACGATCGTGCGTGGCTGGCAGTAGCTGCTAGCTTGAATCCAAATTTCAGGGCAAAGTCGCCCAACCGTTGGGCGACTTATAAGTCGCCAAACCGCCCAACGGTTGGGCGACTTTGCCCTGACCACGGTTAAGCCCCAGCAGTATTTTGGTAAATATTTTTTTTCCAGCATTATTTCCGTAAATAATTAATTATTTAACATTAATACGGAAAAAAACTCATATAAATCTAGTCGTGTATGTTATGCGCACGTCTATTTGTAATTTTTTTTACTGTTAGTTATATAACTTTAAACACTTGCACATTCATTCTTGTAGCTAATAAATCTTTTCACATTAAACACATTATGAGACAATTGTAAATCTAGTCGTGTATCTTATCCGCTAAAATGTTCTATTTTTTGCGGATCGGAAAAGGTGAAGTTGGCAATGAATTTTAATTCCCGGTATGTTTTTTTCCTGAAGTTAAAATGTATTTTACGGGGGAAATCCTTAACATGAATAAATTAATTAGGAGCATGGTCTAATCTGTAAATGAGCAAAATTATAGAGCTAAATGTAGTAACTGTCAAATGTTACATAACTAAAAAAGCAGTAAATCTCGCTCATTTTGATGATGATGGCGGGAATAAAAAGGTCACTCTCACATGCCCAGTGACCTGGGCCAAGTGCGGAACTCATCCCTAACTTATTTAATTAGGGAGTGTTTGCATGAAAAAGTGGTTTTTAGTAATTTTTGAAAAAGTGATTAATAGTAAATGCTGATGGTGTTTTAAAATAAAAGTGATTACACACAAAAATAATAAAGTTGAAGTCTTTGATAAAAAAGTTACCCCCTCCATCCCGTTTAAAGGTTCTCACTTTCCTTTCATGGACGTCCCACTTAAAGGTTCTCACTTTCTATTTTAGGAAACAATTATCATTTTTAAACAACAATTTAATCATCAAACATTAAAAATAATACATTTATGACATTACAATTATCATCAATAACTCATTATATTATACTCATCAAAATTATTTCTCAAAATATATTCGAATTAGCATATTTAATTATTGTCTAAATCATCGTGCCATTTTTGCTATGAGAAACTTTCAACGTTACATGTGTAGTAATTTTTATGTAGCTTTTTAATTAAATTACAAAATTGTCCCTTTCATTTAATAAATGTACCTGGAGTAGATGAGTTCATCATCTCTCACGCACAGCCCAAGGAAATGTCTAGACGTCTAGTCGATATTTTACATGTTGGAACTTTCAATCTATATACTCCGTATTAATCTACTCGTCCTTGGAGTGGATGAATTAAGGAATTGAAAATTAAAAACCATTTCATAGTGGGCTAATGAACAGGAAATAGCTAAGGTAGATATTCAATTATGAATATCTTTTCCAGATTAGGTCATCCTTGGCTTGGAAACCAAAAGTATCTTGTTTTCCTGAGATATCATGCTGCCCTCATGCCAAGGAAAACAACTCTTCTCTAACTTTGATCAACCCGTTAACCAAAGAGCGGGTGGATGGTGTCCAATACTAGCGCCGATAAAAGTACAAGCAACCCTATTTAACATTGCCGTAGGCAAGCATAAATGCCTTGAGAAAACATTTCTCTACTAGTGAATCCCGATTGAAATAAGATTACACACTGTTGGAAAAATGTGTTAAAAGTGCATTAAATGGTCATTTTTAGGCAATTTTTTGAGTGGGGTCCACTTCCAATTTGGATCGGGTCAAAGTGGTTTCGGATTACTCTTGTTAAGGGCTACAGTTCGATATATGGTGCGCTCAAAACGGATAACGGGTGAATGAGAAATTGATTCTCGAAGTTTACCCGTTAGAATGGAAAAACTGGGAAAAAGTATGGTTTCTAGTGTGCTATTTCCCACACCGGAAAACCCAAGGGATTTGAAACCCTTTATAAAGGGACTCCCCCCTTAAGGAGTTAAGATTCCTTAGGGTAAAGGATCTCTCACGCGCGCATTAGGGGTGCAAATTGAATCCCGAAATCGGAGAAGAAAAACTGCACAACTTGCGTGCACGGGCGACCTACGGACACGAATGTCGTCCATAAATGGACAGTTCATGGACGATTCAATGCCCAACGGACTGGTCATTGATGTCTAACGTTCAAGTCCATTAATTCAACATTTACACACAACTAATCCTCCTATATAATGGTTGGCAGGTGGTTTTCAACAACATGTTCTTACACGCTAATACACATTCCTCATGCATTTCTTAGCTCTAAAACACCTCCAGTCACTCAGAAAAATTCCTAAGTGTTCAGACTTGTTCTCATTCGCTAGAACTTTTGCTCAAACATTAGTTCGTAGTCATCGTATCCTGGGAAACGATTTTTTGCAACGCTCCTAGCACCGTGGGAGGCGACAAATACGTTTTAAGGACATCGCGCGTAGCACGAGCTTTGGCTAAATTTTGCTCCATCTCCTTTCTTGTTTTTCTTTCGTCATTTTAATTAATTTATTTTAATTAATTTTCCTTGTTTTCCGAAACACACCCAACAGACACCTTGTAAGGCAACCCTAATAAGTTCTAGAGCCCGTTTGGTAGCACGAGAATCAGCTGTTTTGGCTGATTCTATTGAAATTTATGAAGTTCTAGCTGAAGTGGGTGCTTTGGTTGTTTCTGCTGATTTAAGAAAAAAATTATTTAAAAAATATATTTTATGAATAAAATAAAGAAAAAAATATATGTAAAAATAGCTAAAATAGTCATCTACAGCCAATACAGCCAGAAAAGTAACTTCAACCTTACTTTTTCTGCTTATTACACAATTCAGCGTGCGAAAGCTAAAATTACGTGTTTGGTAGAAAAGTTGGATGATAAACCTGATAACTTGAAAAATAGTATTGCTAAACGGCCTCCTAGTCTTCCAACATAGCTAATACATTTTGTATTTCACTTATTCTTTCAATTTTCTCTATCATAGGTACGTATTGACTATTGATCAATGGACAAGAGTAGAGGAGGAAGTGGAATCCCCAAATATGTCACTAGAAACTGGCCAACTGAGTAACCAACCAGACCAACAAGAATAGTTTCCTTAGATTGTCTGGTCCAGTAACTCATACTCATGTAACTCATGCAATGAAAATGTTAGATTTTTTCACATTGATGATTGATAGATAGTCCAGAAGTCAAATAAAAGTCACTCCAACGTTTAAAAGGATTTAGATATAGATGAATTCTCCCCTACTGAAAAGCATGAGGTTTTTAGCTAAGATCATGTGAGAAATACTAAGTTGACTTTATTTGGGATGAAAGTTGAAAACTTAAAATCAGGTGAAGAGGTAGTAATGCCCTGGACAGGTACTCCATAGAGAGTAAGAAATGTGAATGATGACATGAGGTCACCTTGTTTGAGACCTCTTCTCCTATTGAAAAAGCCATGTGAACCGCCATTAGTTGAGATAGAAAGAGTAGGGGTACGTGGTAATACATTTCTAAGATCCGTCTAACAAAATGTAGGGGAAACCAAAAGCCAGCGGAAGGTTTATTAAGAAATCCTAAATTACAGTATATCAAAAGCTTTTTTTAAGTCAACTTCAAAGGGGCACCTTAGAGATGCATATTTTCGGGAGAAACCGCTTATTATCAGCTCTTATGAGTTATGATAACACAAAAGTATTGTTAGTAATGCCTTTCTCTTCCACAAAACACATTGTTCGTTCCTTCCTTCTTGTAGATAGAATTTTAGAGATGGTATTGTATAACATTGTCCAGGATATAGGCCTGAAGTCAGCCAGTCACCCATTGTGAGGTTGTGGGTGCTTTTAGGAATCAAGGAAATGGTGGTGTGATTGATCTGTTTTAGCGATTGTTGGAAAAAGTGTGTTAAAATTGCATTAAATGGTCATTTTGGGGCAATTTTTTGAGTGGGGTCCACTTCCGATTTGGGTCGGGTCAAAGTGGTTCCGGATTGTTCTTGCTTAGGGCTACAATTCGATATATGGTACGCTCAAAACGGATAACGGGTGAATGAGAAATCGCTTTTCGAAGTTTACCCGTTGGAATGGAGAAAACTAGGAACAAAAAGCGCGACCTGCGGACACGAATGCCGTCCGAAAATCCTATCTTCTAAAGATAAGGTTAATTTTTGTTCTTCCGGTACGTTCCTATTTATTTTTTGCTCCATGCTGGAGTGCAACGTTCATGAACGTTGCAACATAAATGCCCAACGTTCATGGTTGGTAGCTGCTTTGCAAAATTACATGCCCAACGTTCATGGTTCCTATAAATGCAGCATATATGCCTTAATCCCTTAACCAACCATTAACACATGCAAATCCACCCATATAAAAGGCTGGTAGCTGCTTTGCAAAATTACATAAGTCACAAACGTGCTGCACTTCGTTTTAGCTCAGAAAACTCTCCAGCCTTCTCTTAAAAATTCCTTCTGTGTTCTGAGCTTTGTTCACGTTCGTTGGAACTTTCGTTTGAGTGCTCAAACGCTTGTTCGTAGTCATCGTATCCTGGGAAACGATTCTTGCAACGCTCCTAGCACCCCGGGAGGCAACGAATACGTTTTAAGAAAATCGTGCGTAGCACGAGCTTTAGCTTATTCTGCTTCATCTCATTTCTTGTTTTCTTTAAGTCATTTTATTTAATTATTTTTTCTTAGTTAATTTTCTTTGTTTTTCGAAACACACCCAACAACGATTTACCATGCTTAAAGAATTTAAGAACAGCCAAGGTAAAATCAGTTCCAACATCCCCATGAGACACTATCAGGACCTAGTAAGGGTGGGCAAAATAATCCGTAACCGATTTACCGAATCGAAAAACTGGAAAACCGGCACT